AGGGCGGGGCCTTCGGGCCAGCGCCTCCCTGGAGACCACCTCGCCACGCCCCGCCCTCCTCGCCCCTCGACTCCAGGCTGAAGCGGTGGGGACAGCTTTGCTGACCGGATATCAAGCCGCGAGAATTGTCGCTCGTGAACGCCATCCTGCCCGTTGGGATCGTGTAAAACAAAGACCAGGACTCCATGGCCCCTACTCTAGAGGCCGTCTCGGCCGTGCCCTCTCCGCGGACGAGAGTGGCCTGCACGGAGAAGTTTCCTCGGAAGCGAGACACCACCACCATAGGCTTTCTTCTGGGTCTGGATCCCAGGCCCTTGCCTGCAGGGAAGTTCTTTACGATGTCCAACCTCTCGCTTTCCTGTCGGCTTAGTGCATTTCCTCGACCCACCCCCAGAGAAGAACAGCAAGTATCTCCCACCACCACGCCCATGAGAACCACTCTGGAAATTTGCAAATTTCAATTCTCTCCTTGGTTTTTCTCCAAGGTGAAAAACCTTAACCCAATTTTTAAAATTTCCATCACAGAACCTTAGAAGTAGTTGTACAGCGGCAGTCTTACCCAAACGCCCACCCCAAATGGGAATTCCCCCGCCCCCATCTCTGCCACGCACCACGCAAAGGTACACAGAGTCCCCGACAGTTTGAACATTCCAGAAGCGGGGAGCTCCGTCCTCGCGAAAGCAGCCATTACTGGAGAGCGCTACGGTTGTTAGAAAGCTCTTCCTTGCCCTATTTCACCCCCGCCCCTCCTGGCCGCTTTCCCACCTCACCTCTGCTGGCAGAGACTTGTCCGAGGTGGAGGGGGTGTCAGTGCCTAGCGATCTGGAGGGCTCGGCAGCCCCCCGCCCCCACCCCGGCCCTCAAAACCTTCCGCCGGGAGGCAAGCGCGGGGGGGCGGGGTGTTAACCCCCCGCTCGGCCCTGCTGCAAATCACTTCCAAGTCGGTGACTCAAAAATAGTAGCAGTTGTTGGGTTGCAGCTCATCTCCATGTTATCAATTTAATGTGTCAATGCACAGAGGCAATCCCTTTGGGTCCCGCCTCTTTCTCGGTGTCCCTCCCACTCCCCGTTCCCACACCCCTCCCTGGAATCCTCTCCCCCGCCCGCCCCCAACTCTAGAGTCGCAGCCCTAGTGGTCCCAGGAGAGGCTGTGGGTCTCGGTGGGAGCTGAACAGGAAGAAAGGCGGGGCCG